CACTACAGCTCAAACAGAAAATATGGGCAGAGAATGAGTGCATTCTGCTTCCTAGGATGACCATATTTTAGACCTCCAACCCTCTACATAGTTGGTCGGAAATAGATGAATAAAAATATGATCACTGTCCGGCTACAGTAAGCTTGAGGTCCCCACCGCCTCAACCTTGAGCTAAAGAAATAATGCACTCCATCATGGCTCAGGTCAGTAATCCAGTAGCTACCTGGGTGTTCCCCACATAAGCAGATCAAACCGCAATGCCAATATCGCAAAATTTCCTTATCTGGACTCTGGAGTTGAAAGACTTTGCGACGGTGCGGGGAGGCTGGTAAATGAGTAGGATTGAGACTCAGAGTATGGTGCTCCACTCAAATTCATATCAATCTCTCAATTTAGAATGTGTGCCATTGAAGGATAGGCTGTCTCGTAGGTTGTTCATGAATTAGTTACTTCCACCCGTCAACCGGGTGACAGTAACCCGGCACAGGTGTAACCCGGTGCGGCATTTTGGCCGGGTGGATGTAACCCATCTAACGGGTTACCTCACTGGGCTACTTTCCAAGTGGTTAAATGTACTCGTTCAACGGGGGCATAAATGTCACCCGGTTAGACGGGGTAAAGGTACCCGTTTCGGAGTCACCCATTGTTGACTCGTTCAATGGGTGAATGGGGAAAGTTACCCGGCGACCGAGGGAAACAAACCCGGTCCCAGTCTTACAGTGTGAGATTCACATACCCTGCTGCGGAGAAGCATGACACAATCATGGCATCCCTCTTGCTGTTGAGTTGATGAACAGGCAGCAGAAATGACGAGGAACCCACAACAGAAAATGATCATCTCTCACGCAACTGCGGGTCCTCATACCCCATGATTCCTAGTATGATAGTTGGAAAGAGGTTGGTGGCAGATACCAGCGGCGGAACTGGAAAATCACAGATGAGGTTATTTTGCTTCCTGTCACTCTGACAAGAAACAAAAAAATTACCACGAAAGAGACCTTCTCACCCGACCTCGAATCAAACGGGGGGGTAATGTTGCCGCGATTCCCGACTCTGCCCCTCCAAGTCGACTTGATTCGAGTCGAGGTGAGTCACCTGCACAACTCCGCTAGACTTCCGAGTCAAAGGAAGTTGACTTGTCTCGACCTGGAGTCATTTTCGGCCTTATTAGTATGGATATTTTCATATATTTTCTTGAATCTCTCGCCTCCTAATCCTCCTATATGATGTTAGAATACACATATAACAGTAGGTAGGTAGTCATGAAGGTGCTTTTCTGTGTTGGAGGCTCCTTTCATCAACATAATTCCCTCCGATATGGTGGTAGAATTTATTGATTTCTTGAAATATGCATATATACGGGCTGAGTTAGTCAATTGTAATCGATCCCTCTCTTTGGAATTTGTTGGGAGAGTTGAACGAAGGACTTTGTGTTAGAGGCGCTTGTGGGAATTATGTCAGGCGGCCCAAAAAAGGGTTTTTATGCTGCTTTACTCTACATTATGTATACTACATGTCCACTCTGTATTCCGGAATTTCTTCGCAATTGTTGGAGCATATTTTGTTTGGATGTTTCGGATATTTTAGCTCTACTGAGCTCAGTTCTTGACTGATTCCTTGAAACTATGCTCAATAGATTCGCCTTGCGATTCCAGAGGAATTACGTTCGAAAATAAGTTATAAGCGTGGGAATTGCCTTTTTCGGCAAATTTTGAGGCATTTTCTCCTATCTGCTCTAGCATTGGATATACTGACCTGATTGACTTAGTTTTTGGATATATCATACTTACATGCATTATCTAGGGTGTGACGGGCCCAGATAAGGATTTAAATGTTTTGTTGACATTTGACATGGGACTTAAAACTGATTGAAATCAAATACTATAAGGCTTTTGAACAATGAGGTATTTTGACGATCTGGGCCTGTCACACCCTAGATAATGCATGTAGGTATGATATATCCAAAAACTAAGTCAACCGGGTCAGTATATTTAATGCTAGAGCAGATAGGAGAAGATGCCTCAAAATTTGCCGAAAAGGCAATTCCCATGCTTATAACATATTTTCGAACGTCACTCCCTCCGGAATCGCAAGGCAAATCTAGTCATCATAGTTTCAAGGGAATCAGTGAAGAACTGAGCTCAGTAGAGCTGAAATATCCGAAACATCTATATAAAAAAAAATGGGCCGCACCCTAAGTTCCGCAACTGGCTGTAATTCCCGACTTCATTGACTCGAGTTGACCCGAGTCGACTCCGAGTGACTTGCATGGGAGCAAGTCGAGTCGGGTGACAATTGAAGTCAACTTGTCGAGCCATGACTCGACCTTTTGAGTCACGGCAACATTAAACGGGGGCTTTCTGCCTGCCAATCATGCATCAATTATACTGCGCAGATGCACTCCATTGTGCTGCCGGGTGGGGTTTAAGGCTGTTTTGTCCCAGGGCTTATGCGAGCGAGTGAGGATGGACCAGGTGTGGGTATGGTTTGAAATAAAAAATAAAAGATCCACTGCAACTCACTGAGCCAGGGGTGCCCGCTGGGCTCAGTTCCTGACGGGTTGGGAGACCTTCGGACAAAGCTGAATAAGTATTGAAGGACTTGAAGCATTCGGACGAGTACTTATGAACTGAGAGATTAAAAAGATCTGATCTTAAGGCATTAATGCATCACCCGGCCCCGAATTGAACGAAGACCTTCTACATGCATTCTACGGCAATCTCAGATCATTCTTGGTAGACACACACCATGTGCCACCGGGTGTTCCTTACCCTGGCTTACACTTGAATTTATGCGAGGGCAATGGCAAGAGAAACTGGATGTGGTTGTTGGACCTTATAAATCAGTCCCAAATTCGAAAGAAATGAATCAGGGCACTCACTGACCAAACCAGAGCCTGCAAGGTTGTGGACTGACCGCGTACTTGTAGACGAGAAAGATGAAGACCTGCAGCATGCGGAAGAGTACTATGTGAAAGAAAAAGAAACCAAAAATATCTAACCAAACCGAGTCCATCACCCGGCCCTGGATCGAATGTATGAGGGTTTGTTTGTACAAAAAACCGTGTGAAAGAGGTCGGCGCGTGCGAAAGAAGGTTGATTGTGCACGAAAGAAATGTGAGTCAGACAGTTGGTGTCATCAAGCTGAGTGTCTGTGGGACACTCCATGTGTACTTCACCCACAAACAGATTTCCACATGGCTTCATATCTGTTAGTCCTCTGCTTCATGTCAAACCTGCGTATGTCATATAATAGATCCAAAATGTGTTTGAAACCTTGAGTTTCCTACCACTCGACATTGGGACAGCAGGATTTATGTAGAATCAGCGAGTAGGGAACCCTTATCTTCACCCTTGCTCTTACCGCCTCCTTTGGCAGGGAGTCGATGTGAACTTTGGGGAAAACCTCCCAATCTAATCTAATCTAATCTAATCCAAGACATCTTATCTTATCTGAGACAGCATCCCGACGTTGCCGATTCTCGAACTCAATGTCCTGAACCTGTCTGGACAGCACGGAGACATGGGGTAATACTTGTTGCAATTGTATCTAAGAAACTCAGCTATCTTCCGAGGAAAGCAGTGATGGTTGACTCCAGGTCGAGACCGTTTACATAATATATCGTGGGTGGCCCAGGAGGCTTAGGTGGAGGGCACTAGTATACACCCGAGGACACACCAGGAGAGCTGATGGAGTTGTAAAGATACTCTTTGCCCAAATTTGCAATAGTACCTATTAATCACTGAATCATCGCTCTTTCGCGCGCGCTGGTCCTCTTTCGCGCGCGCAGATCTATTTTTTGTATAAAAGAACCATCATAGAACGGGGCTACCGGGTGTCTCCCTTGATCTGAACTTGCATTTATGCGATGGAAATAAGCGGGACTAGGTGTGGGTGTCATAGAAACAAAAAATAACAAAGCAACTGCAACTCAGACGGAAGTTAGCTGACCAATACATTAAATTCGGACTTGAATGTCTGACAGTCGGTGATTCATGCTGGCAGAGGTCAAGGCAACGGAGTCGAGGAACGAAATTTGAACCTACAACTTCATCACCCGGGCCCGAATCGAACAGGGGCCTTTTGCATGCAACCCTCTCGAGGTCTCTTTACCATTTTGAGCAGACGCACACCATGTGCTACCTGGGGTCTCTTGCCTTGGTTTGAACTTGCATTTATGAAAGCGAAATGAGGGGACTGAGCGGGGATGAGTGAAAATCAGTACCATCGTCCGGAGATCCAAGCGCTCACCACTCATGCACCGAAAATCGAGTGACGAAGGCTTCTGGGACGCTGGCTTGGAGAAGTCGAGAGCATGAACAAAATTATGGCAAGAAAGAAAAAATGCTGAGGAGTAACGATACATCACCCGACCCCGGATCGAACGTGGGCTCTCTGTTTGCAACCTTGCAACAAAGCACATTGCCGATAGATGCACACCATGCTACTGGGTGTCCCTTACCCAGGCTTGGACCTGAATTTATTCATGCAAGTTGAGCTGTATTTGGTGAAGTCGAATTTGAACATGAAGTTGTTTTCAGTTCAACTTCGGAAGACACCGGCACTCACCACGGGCAGGAAATGTGAAGGATTTGGGGATTTGTGCTCGCCCAGGCTGAACTGACTCGAGGGCATCCGCAAGAGGATGAAAGATTTAAAAAAAACCATCACCCGGAGGACTATCACCCAGCCCCGAATCGAACGGGGGCCTTCTGCCTGCGAACATGCCGCAAGGTACACTTTGGGCAGATGCACGCCATGTGCTACTGGGTGTCCCTTACCTTGCTTTGAAGCTCGATTTATGGGATAGAAAAGAGCGGGACTAGGTGTGGGTGTCATTGAAACAAAAATAACAAAGCAGCTGCAACTCAGACAGAAATTAACTGACCAAGACATTAAATTCGGACTTGAATTTCTAGCAGTTGGTGATTCGTGCTGGCAGAGGCCAAGAATGCAGTGGAATCGAGGAAAGAAAGAAAAAAAATGGACCTACAGCTTCATCACCCGGCCCCGAATCGAACGGGGGCGTTCTACCTGCACTGATTTAGCTGCCCTGTATGAATGGCAGATGCACTCCGTGTGCTACCGGGTGTCTCTACCCTTGATTTGACCTGAATCTATGCGAGCGAAACGAGCTGGATGTGCGAGAGTTGAAGTTGGAAATCTGGGGAACTTTTTTCCCCCCCGCAGAACACAATCAGTGGCAGTCACCAAGACACCAAAATTAGAGTGCGTAAGTTCCTGAAGGGCATGAGACGTGCGCAGATAGAGAAGTAAGAGAAAGGGACTTGAGGTATCCGTATTAAATTTTAAATTTTAAAAAAAAACAGAATCCCGAGTTATCACCCGACCCCGAGTCGAACGGGGGCCATCTGCCTGCTAATCCTGCTGGGCCACTGGGGGCAGATGCACACCATGTGCTACCGGGCGTCCCTTCTCTTGGATTGAAGCTCAATTTATAGAACAGAAAAGAGCGGGATTGGATGGGATTGAAAAATTGAAATTACTGCAAGGCTCGGAAGATACAGGAACTGACCGCTGGTAGATGCCCCCCAAAAACGAGAGAGTCGCGAGAGGTGTGGAATGCACGGGAGAGAGCTCAGAGAATCAAGGTGTTTTTTGTTTGTTTGAGTTTGAAGAAGAAAAAAGAGGACGAAAAAGGGTCCAGCGGGTTTGAGAAGTTTGGAGCCGACAGTCGCAGTTGCGATGGGTGTGAGATGTACGAGACAGGAGGAATCCAGGAGTTTTTTTGCTGGAGTTTCAGGAACGAAAAAAAGAGAACAAAAACTACCGTAGCGAACTCATCGTCCGACCCCGAATCGAACGGGGGACCTTCTGCCGAATCCTTCAAGAGGGGATAATTCTAGCAGATGCACTCCTTGCGCCATCGGGCGGTCCCTGGACCTCAAAAGCGAGCATCCTAGGCTGTTCCGACGGGGTCCGAGTCGAAAGCAGGTGAAAATACAAAGCAGGTGGCACAGCCCTTCCGAATGAGACAAAGCCAAACACGGCCCCGTCTGCTCCTCTCCCTAACCTTTCTGCATCCATCACTGGTACTCATGCCATCGTCGAGCCAGTCCCCTCCGCCTGCGTCCCGCCGCCGCGCATCTGCCAGCCCGTCGCGCGACGCCGGCGTCAAGGGCATCACCCGCAAGGTTATTCGCACTCTGGAGGGCCTCGGCCACCCCGCCCTCAGCGAAGCCGACGACGAGGCCGACGACGAGCACGAGGTCGCGCGGGCGCTCGCGGCCGACGCCGGGCGCCGGGCGGGCAAGCAGCGAGTGCGCCAATGACATAACAAGATTACCGCGGATCCACTCGTCTAGCTATCGCCATATCGGTGAGTCCTGTTCTCCGTCTTCTTCGCTCCTCCTTCCCGGCGCCGGTGGCTATCATCCCCTGCATTATGTTGGGGCAGTAGGCGGCGGATCCTCCGACTGTCCTCGCCGCGTGCCCCCGGTGCGATGTTTCGTCGGATGCGACAGCATTCGCTTTCTGATGGATCTCGTGCGCTGCAAAGTGGCTAAGTGGCGGCCGGGCGTTTTGCGCCCCTGAAGACGCGCAAGGCCGCTGGTGTGCTGGCCCCGCCTCAGGAAGCGCCGGGTCGAAAGCTCCCGCGCACGCACAATCTGCATCCCGCGCCGCTCGGTCTCCCTGGCCCCGCGAGCAGCGTGCCGCTAACGAGGCGCGTCGAGTCGCTGTCCCACCAAGGGCGACGTCAGCAGCCACCTGTTGTATGTGCGACGACGCGCCGTGCACCACCAATTGCAGTGTATCATTCTAGGGCCTTTGTGCCTCCCCCATATTGGTCGTGTGCTATACGTTCCTCCTTTCCTCCTTTCCCCTTTCTCGACCGTGCTTCCATCTCCTCGTCCGCCCATATGCTGCGCCTGGGCGTGCAGTCGCTCTTCGAGCTCAAGTGCGGCTCCGTCGCGCCCGACATGCAGCGCGGCGGTCCCCGACCCAGCGACCTATAACGACGCGTACTGGTGGATCAACTACTTCCGCGTTTTCACCAAGTGCGTCCCTTCCTCTCCGCCGTCCCCGTCTTCTGTGTGCGGTCTTGACGTGCGTGTGTTCGCAGTGCAGAGAACACGCCGGTGTCGAGTATGGCGGGCAGCGGCGGCAGTAGCGCCTCGCAGATGGGACGACGGGCACCAGCGCCGCCGCGCCTCTCCGCGGCGCGGTCCTCCGTGAGCTCCTCGTCCCCGCGGCGCTCGTCCTCGGCCTGCTCTCGCTCTGATGCAGCGCCGTCTCCCCTCCCCCTCTCTCTCGGGTTTCTGTCAGGACTCGCTCGCACTTTGCCCCACTCGCACGCACTTCGCACTTGACCCCACACTCGTTTGTTCCATAGATACCCTGCCCCCGCCGAACATTAACTACTCGCAGCACATACGCCGGCTGGGATTGACGGTGTACATGCATACGTATACGTATTATCTATTGGGCAGCACGGCTAATTATGTCAGAACCGCACTTGTGGGATAGATTCAGAATACCCTGTCGGGTGCAGCACCTGCGGACGAGTACTGATTTGATACCAGTCCAGTTCGAGGCCGTCTGATGTCGAGGCTGGCGACGTACATATCTCATGGGCGTCGGCGGACAGCGACGAAGGAGCAGGCATTCGGCGTCAGCTGCGCCACGGCGGGCAGGCGGGGCGCGGGCGGGGAGGCGCGTGCGAGGAGGCTAGTATGGAAAGAGATATAATGATCAGCGAGGGCAGCAAGGAAGGAACAGAGAGGCAGGCACGCACGTCGAGGTGGTGGAGGCGAGCGCGTGGAAGCACGCCAAGCAGATGCGCGATGAAGCTTCACCGCGCAGCTCCTTCAAAGGCTGCAAGCTTCAAAGCTCCTGTGCCCTATGCGCCGCGCACATAGTAGTATGATAGACGACCCTCACACCGCGCGCGTGTCCTCGATCCCTTTCCACCTGCATCACGGGTTCCTCGCGGCGCACTCTGCTGCGAGATCGTGCTCTTGGACGCCTGGTAGCTTGGCTCGTGTCGCGGCTCCGTACACCTCAGCGTAACTCTCGTGCCAGCAGCATACTCCGCGCGCGGCCGTCCCCATGGAAGCCTTCACAGCCAGTCAGCCAGCGAACCGACCAAGCTCTCCCACTTGCTTCCACAGTCACTCGACTAGCTCCAATTCACAGCCATCGAGAATGTAGCCGGCCGCGTCGCCGATGTTTTCTTATCCGAAGGGCAGAAAAGACAGGGATTTCGCCGGGGCTTCGAGGACACTGATGAGATGAATCTCCTTTGTCGGGTCAGAATAAGCTTAGCGCTAGTCAGGGTCTTATTCATCCAGTTCTTGTGTGAGATTTGCTCCAAGCAGCTTGAAGCAAATGTGGTGGCGAGTTCTCCAAGTTAGTGAGCTGCGGAAAATGGGCGGCGCTCGAGAGGGATGCTGTAAAGCAATCAAGCTTCAAAGTTCAACCTGGTTCAAGCATTGATTCTTGCGATTCTTGAAGCAAAGTGGCCGAGCACAATTCGCAGCTCAATCGATCCAACACCTGCGTCAGTTTATAGCTATGATTGTCGCTGTAATCCCAACGCGTCTTCGTAGTTCTAAAATTTCGGGGATTAAGTTACCGGTCAGAAACAAGGTTGAACACGTCTTACATCACGAGTATCCCTGATTTAGTCAGTATGTGTTTGCAGACTCGCACCCTGAGCACTAGACACATACGGATTAGATTTCAACCTCAGACATCGAAATATTCTAAGTCCATAATGCGCCACAAAGCAAGATCGTAGTCAAGCCTTCTGAAGGAAAGTAAATTCACGTTTCTGCTCAGCCTGCAGTCACCAGTGTCGAGATGTCGGCCTCATTCCGGGGACTATGCAGCCACATTTTGCTTGCGTCTCACCACGATGTTAGAGCGCCCTTTGAACGACATCGAGCTGTGGTGGCGCGATCATCAAGTATGACTGGAACTTTGTGGCAATTTACTGGACCTAGATTCCGTGTGGGATGGCAGTGGCAGCCTTCAACCGAGAGGAGACCTTGCAACAAAGGGTGACTTTTTCTTAACTGTTTGCACGTAGTCCCATAAGTTGGCTCGGACTCGATTCTACAGCGTTGGTGGATGCTACTCGAGCAGCTGATGGTGCCGCCATTGCACTCAAACGTGTCCTGCTCACTGGGCCCCACCCTTCGCGTGACATGCACGGAACGCATAATGAGAATGCTGAACTCCCAGCCGCTCGCGGCGGACCCCGATAATCCTAGCCCTCCATGACACGAGATTTTGCAGGTCCCCGATGAGCCCGAAATCCACATATTTGTCATGCCCAAATTCCCGGGTGTTGGAGACAATCAGGGAAGTTATGGATTTCCGCCGATAGGCTCTATGACCTCAGATGAGATAAATATAGTGCCAATGTCAGGCTTCAGCCGTCCAAAAATGTATCAGCCCTTTATGTAGTGCACCCTCATACCCTAGACTGAGCAGTTGAATTCCAATATATATAAAGAACACCTGAGGTACATATGTGCCTACCCTACTCTATTCCACTGCTGCTCCAATAAACTACATACCTAATACATACCCAAAAATCTGAATCCTGAAAACAAGGCAGAAACTACCAAGAGAACAGTATATGTACCAGCCAATCTGAAAACAACACAGAAACTAACAAGAGAACAAGTCCATGTAGTAGCACAATTAGGTGGGAATCAGAGTAAGCTGTATGTCATTCTCCCCCCCAACATCCGCCCTTTCCGGACAAGTTGTTGGTGCATTGAGAGCTGAGAGCTGAACAAAGGGCTCTGAATGGTGTTCCAATAGATTGCTTGTTCTAGCAAGTCGCTCATCAATATGAATAAGTTGCTTGGCCTGTGATGATCGTTCAAACAATGGTCGGGCTGTTTCCCACAGCTCTGCTGCCTTGGGGAAGTCCCCATGCAGTTCCGAGATATCTCCAAGTCGAAGCATACATTCTGCTCTGCTGCGGTGCACATCCATCTTTGTGAATCCCTCAAGAGCAACAGTCAGCAGACTAACTGCTGTCTCCTGGTCACCACCCTTGAGATACACATCTCCGAGGAATTGGAGAGCTTTGTGTATTTGCAGCCTATACTTCAA